GTGAATCACAAATGCAGTGTATAATATGTACCCACTCGAATGTATATGTAGTTAACGACGTGGCAATTTTATTACGTTAATAGACTGTACGCGCGCGTAATACAGTTCGACTCGGTCCACGTCCGTCTCTGTATAAATGTACGCCACGATATATGACTTTACATTTGTAATATAATATATATACTTCAACGCCCAAATTGGGACYTTTGATACTTAWGTATATACATACAGTATATAATACGTCACATCCCTGACTAGGGTGGTATACGCATGACGTGTAAGTTCGCCGCCGGAGAATACAAATTCGTTTTATGTAAATTATTAAGCTTTTTTTCTACAGTACGCGTGGTGCAATTTAGATAATGGTTGTGCATAAACCAATTTCAAAACATTATAATATAATAATATATAATTCTTAAGTAATACTAACTCATTTCAAAACTTTTGTTATCTTCTCCATAATATAGTAAGTAGTAAGTAATAAATACCAGGTAGTGGATTAAGTACTTTATTGAATTAAATTCATGTAACATTTCATCACTTTAACATGATATTTCCAGCATGGAACCCATGGCACATGAACTGCAGCATTACTAGCTACAGACTCGCATATTATCAGCGTTTACTATACGTACCTAATAAATCATTATCAAAATTAAGATACTTTAAATATTCTAGCTTCAAAGGCATACCCGTGTTTGGCATTCTCTAAGTCTAGAGGTTCGCCCCGTTAACSTTTGCCGTCTTTGATGCCACGCTGTATTTACGCCAAACGCGAACCGGAACAATAAAATCATCGAGACTGTCTGGTCTACCGGCCAGCAGGGTCTTTCTGGATGCYACATTTTACAAATAGTAAAATTGCATTTCTCAGAGCCTTACTGTATTATTAAGATTTTACTTCAAATAATGAAAGGACCTAAGTTCAGTTGAATTCCGGTAGGCCAGCGCATGGGAAACTAATTCATTGAAATATATTATTTAACCGTTTATGATACTTTTTTACAATATGAATTTTAAACCGACGAAAAGAGAGATTTGGCTCAAACAATTCCAATCGAAGTATAATTATTGATGTCATTAACTGTAATTTATCCCTAAGCTACCTATCTATAAATAAGACAATGGCTGCTGTAAACGCCAAGTATGACAAATCGAAATTCATTAAACAAATTTTATACGCAGATCAGAAGCTGAAACCTAGTTCTTCAGGAGTACTGGAAAGAGCAGTCGACCTGTAATACCTACGATAAATTCAGGCCTCATTAGGTTGTTTTGTAAACAGGTACTGACCTTGACGTCAGTCGACGCATTCGAAACACAATGCTCAAAGATGTCGTACACTCGGATATCCGTGGTTCGCGGGGTCAACCCGGATTTGTGCATTTTTGGTTTTTACGCGTATACGAGTATGCGTGGTACCTATTTAATATTAATATTATGTGGGTGATGCTTTTAACGTTCATTTTTCCAGATGATTCGCATCTTCGCGAGTTAACTGGTCATCGATATTTAATAACAACTATAATTACATAAACCAAAGCCAATCTGTGTACCTTTAGTTATGAAAACTAACATGTAATTAATATGTATTCATTTATAGTTTACACGGTTTTTCAATTATAAATTAAGAATGTGCAGCGGACTAAAAAAGAAAAAAAATTCATTCAACAAGAACTACATAATTAATAATAAATAATTAATCCATTGCCTTGAATATTTTTCGTTTATCTTAGTCCGTATACGCACTACACGAATATTTTCACTATTCGCGGTGGTTATTTTTCACGAATTTATTACGATCGTGCATCGTTCTTTATACATACCTGTCGCTGCGGCGCTGCATATTATATATTATATAGAAAGGTATTCGCCGCATGCTAAGCTTATTATTMTAACGGTAGAGCGTTTCTACTCCAAGCAYCAGACTTATCGTTGCGATGTTTAAAAGCAAACGACAGCTATAATAATAAATATAATGACAATGAAAAAATAACAATATTATAAGCAATCGAGAAAATCGTTCGAACTAATTCAGAACTTTTTAATGAGTTTTTTCCCCTTTTGTCGCGGAAAAAACGCTAATAGGCGAAAATATATCGTTGTTTTTTTTTCATTTTCGAATTAAAGTTCAGTAGAGTTCCGCGTGATATTTCGAAACGAAGGAAAAAAGACAAAAGACCAACTCGCAGTTTATAATATAATATAATATTATAATGCAGCAATTCGGTTATACTGTTCTTTGACGGTTTTGTTAAAGAAAAAAAAAATTAAAATATAACAGGCCGAGCAGTATATTAATATACTAAAGTGATATTTTTGTAGAAATCGAGTTTTGATTTAAAAACAAATGACGGCGAAAACGACCGCGTCCGTCMGTCGTCGAAGTCGTCTCCAACTGGAGGACATTAATAATAATAATAATAACAACAACACGAAAAACGAGAGTCACGTTGTATACAACCATGTATTGTTGTTGTGTACGCGATCGAACTATATTATATTATATAGTYAGGTACTACTGCAGTGGCATATCGTATGTCATCGTATTTTTTTGTGTGAGTATACAATACGAATTTAAACATATACACGTGCACTATACACGTAGCGTATATAATATTATACCGATTAACCGCGAAGCGAGAGAGAGAGAGAGACTAGCTCATAGAGAGAGAGATAATACATAAAATAAGGTCAACTATTAAACTGGACGGAATGAGAAAAGACTATCGGATCAAAGTTCACGACACGCGGCCGGAACGAGTATTTTATATGTATTACTAGCCCTCCGTGCTAGTGTATTATTATATTATAAAAATATATATATTATATATAGGCACATATATAATATACTWTATAGGTATGGACGTATTGAACGTTACATATTATATTTGACCTATAACAAGTACACGCGCGCTGRCGGATTTACGCACTATACAGTACGGCGCATATTATTATATAAATACATACAAGACTTAAGTAGAAATGAAAAAAATGGACGTGACTTGTTAGTCTTTCGCTGTTATGGTATATGTACCCACCTCATCAGTCATCGGCATAATATGATATATGTATTTTATCAAGTAAATGGAGCAATCGAAGGAGAACAGTTGATTACACCAGGAGAACAATATTTAAGTTAATTATACCCTATACTACATTAATTGTCAATTAGAATTCTGAATTTAGTTTTTTTTAAATTTAAAAGAACGTTTCCAAATTAATTTTTTTCAGTGTTTTTTTTTTTTTTTTTTTTTATTTTTTAATACTCTGTACAACAAGCACATTTAGTAATTTTGATATAGAATATATACATAGTTTTTTTTTTTAAAAACAACAACTTTTAAGGAAGTCACCCATTGGTAACACTTTTCAGTGTTACGACCTATATTTTCAATTTAGTCATCAGAATCTGAATAAGTATCGAATAAATAGTTTTTATTAATGAGACGTGTATAGTATATACCTTATTATTTAGTATTGACATAGATATTAGGGAGGATAGCAGCTACTGAAGTGGGGTGCCCAACTAATTACAATACTTACTATATTTTAATAGTTTTATTCATTTCTTCATCACTACATTTAAAACACTTATAAAATGCATAGACAATTTTTCAATTTATTCAGTTTATTCGATGATATGTATACGCTTCAGCATTTTAAGACAAGAATTCTGCTGGTGATAGTAAAAAAAAAATAACATAAAAACTCAGTGGTGCGGCAAATTACTCGTATAAACTGAAGATCATTTTTACGCCTTGACATATTATAAAAAATGAAAAATGTTTTAATGGTCACTATTATAATTATTGTTTTGACGCCATTACCCAGAATTCATAGGCTTATGTTTAATTATCCGGCTAATGTTACATTATCTAAATATTAACATAATAGTGGTTACATAATATTATATACGATATAGCAGCGGTTCTCAACCTTTTTTATCCGTGTACCACCTACACAGTTTAACAATTTTCACGTATCTCTTGACCGACAAAACCTATTTATTTTTTTTATTTTTACTTATCAAAAATGCATACGTTATCTTACATGTCGTATGGAATTATATTTTATTTTATAACTAGAAAGTTACGACTGTAACTAAACATTTAATGCACAAAACGAAAATAGAATATATACAAAATATGTATTATTATTTATTTTATTATTGTTAATACCAAATAAAGCAAATATTATTAATGCTCTATTGACCATTTTATTTTATTTTTACTAAGGGAAATTTTCTTCGGGTACGAAGGATTGAGAAACGCTGCTATATATAGTATAAAATATAATATATATATATATATATATACCTATTATAGCGGTGTCATACCATCGCGAACGTTTTACCTTTTTGGTAACACGATTGCGAACGATTGACGGCAGATCAAAGGAATAATATTATTTTATACCTTATATGCAAACGATTGGGAACGATTTTTCGAGCGACGCGCGACGTTGTCGTTTATTTTAATTTTATAAATGTATACGACCGATAAATCACAAATATAATATTAAATGCGATATTGCGCGGGTTACGTAACTGTAATTTTTGAATAATCCGTCTTCGAATTCAGTCGTTCGGTGGACGGCGATTACAGTGTTATAGTAAGTTTATATTGGAAAACTTTAAAATTATTATTTCTAAACATGGAAAACAACTAATATTATTAGATAATCATAAATATTATCTATTTATTTTTAAGGCAACGCTGAGACGGATTACTGATATGGAAATGTCCAAATACCTAAGCAGTAGGTACATTAATGAAAAATTGAAAATGCATATAAATCTACAAACGAGTCTGAAAACAACATTGGTCTAAATAATGAATACAATTATGTAATATCATGATAGAATTTGACTGTGCCGAGTGCGACTCGCAGTGGCGTCGCGCGCAGTGACTCAAGAACGCCACTGATCCAACTCGCGACCATTCAATTATTTGATCAATATTGTGGTAAAGGTGATACATACACTTAGAATCACTCACTTGTTGATCGGCGTAAAACGGCCTGTGAGGCGTCCACGACGACGGCTGTTGCGCTTGTTCGTCGACGGTCTCCGGCCACGGCAGTTCTAACAGGGTGACCGGTTGCGTAACGTCCGCCCGGGGCCAGCAAGCGTACGCGCGGTTGCGCCACACGGCCACGTCGGTCAACCGGGCCGGCATCGGCGTGCCGTACAGTCCGTCGGTGTTCCAAGCCACGACGGGCCACCTGCAGAGGACCGCAGTGAACGCGACCAAGACAACTGTCCACGGCATGACGAAGTTAAAATCGGAACAGTATGACGAAACCGCTGCAGTGGAATGCACGTCCTAATGTGACGACGCGCGGTACGGTTATAATAACAGTCCGTCCGTCGTCATGTATATAACGTCATCGCCGTCATTATAAATATTATAATATTATTTTTGTTTACACGTCGTATTTTATTTACCATTATGATTTTGTACGCCGTCGTGTAAATACCGAGGCCCGTGAGCGACCGGACTGTAGGAGGGGATGATAAACCATTGCTCGACCGAGGAAATTAATACTTAGTTGTGAAGACTGACTGAATATATATTCCGCATATATACTATTANCTACTACAGTATAACAATAACTGGCTCACGTAACGTGATCTGAGACTAAGCAATGACCAGTACCACTGATTCCCGGATGGGTGACCACCAGGGTCTTTGTGTTCACCTCTGTTCCTATTAATTTCGGTGTTCCAATCTACCACTCAAGGTATTCAACACCCTTTCTCACCCTATCTCTACTCACTCCACCACTTATGGTCACAACCATCCTTTACACCGCATCATGATTCGTCATGTCGATAATACTRCCTACGAGAGTTCAWACTGTATCTATTTTTATACAAAATCATTTAACAGTTGCCTATGGCTCATAATAATTTTAGTTTTAAAACTGTTAAAATTGTTTAATTTTATTTCTATATATTATATTGTACTGTTTTTGTTACCTTAATTTTTGTACGTTCCCATATATTTAATATAAATGCACATCTCACCACCGTTTTTTTTCATTTAGAGTGGTACTAAATGTTAAAACACAATAGCTATGAATCACAATAATATCATATATTTTTATTAATTTTATGCCTTGTATTAAGTATAATATATACGTCGTTCGTTGATTCGTATGTAGAATACATTATTCGGAATGTAAATCAGTTGAAATCAATGATATAAATATATATATATCCGTATAATTATACGTATGTATTATAGGTACAATATATTACACATAGGAAGTATATATATTGTCATGTACGAGTGTCATACGAAATTTTAATGTTTTATAAGTATAATAACTATTATTATTATTGACGTGAGATTTTAAAGCGACTCTTTCCGGTGAGATTTCCTGGCTCGAGAATAATATAATATAGGTAGGTACGAAATAAATAAATGTATAATATATTTAGTTGTATAATTTAATTATTTTTGTAAATACTTTTTATAAAGTAACCTATAATTATAATCCAATGTCGATGTTGCGTTCAATGACGGAATTAGATGCGACGGAAAATTACTAAATAAATGTATAGGATATAATAATATAATATTGAATACACACACAGTTTTTAGAGTTTTATTTCCTTGTTGGGTATGATCCACCGAAAATAAAGCTGGAATATTGGATCCAACCCGTAATAATCTATATGCAAATATAAACTATCTAAATTACTGAACAGTCATCTCTATAGGTATGCTGTTAAGTATGAAAATACATACGGCGTTTCGATTTTTAAGTTCCCTTTTACATTTTTGGAGGATCAATTGCTTGGATAATATATTATACATATAATTTTTCAACAATTTTTCTACGTTTTATACACGCTGCACGTATTCATCATCGGTGTGATATGCATACCATATTATGTGATATGGCAAAGGTATGTTACCTACTCATATATATGTGTCATTAATGTGATATCCAACACGTACGTATAGTGTACAGCTAATGTGAATAAATATACAGAAACGCGTTTGTGTGCTGTGGCAGATTTGGCGTTCTGATCCTCATCGGTCTCTGGTTTAGTTGGTTTTCTTTTGTATTTTATACGTGACGTTAAAGCTGTTCAGGTGACTCTGCAGCAGGAAGGTCGCTAATATATTATTATTAYTATTATTATATAAGACTGTTACTCCGTAGTCTATTTTCTTTTCTTCTGAAATTGGTCTGTATATACGTTCATACGCTTATTATCACGCCTATTCTGGTGATMCTCCATCACCACTCACCAAGCCGGAAAACGTTACAGCGACCGGAATGGTTTTAAACAAAGCCGYTGTGGCAGATATTTGTAGTGTTTATTGTGTTTACACGTTTTTTTGATTAAACTTTTCGGGTGGTTCAAAAAGTTCAAAACTGTATCGCAGCACGCAAATTCAGTGCGAAATTCAAAACCTATACTTACATCTTATACGACACTTTTACATAATGAGGAAAACAATTTTGCAACACTTRCTAAACTTTAAATGGGTAGATGGTCTTAGAAAAAAAATCCAATGACAACAGAGCAAAATCAATGAATTTAAATACATACAATACACCTATATATTTTATAGATGTACGTATAAACGTAGGTATAATAATATAATTTAAGCACCTGCAGTTTTTAAGAAATATTGGACGACCTCTTTTTGATTTGCCGAGCTCATTTTAACGATAATTATATGAAAATAAAAATGATTTTGTACGCCCTAAACATATTATATTGTGAATTCTCCAAAAATATTCGTTTCTCATCCCGATCATTGAGATTAAACGACATCAATATTCGCTTTATGGCCCTTTATAGGCGTGCATAAATTTCAATGAACGGTCAACCATTGGTATATTTTTCAAAACATGTGTTGCGATGTCCACTGCAGTGAAAAAACGATCAAATGCACAATAAATTCGGGTAAAAAATAATGGTGGTGTAATAAACTCAAAAATATGTTTATAACGGATCGTGTCGTCATCTACGGTGAAAAAAATTAACGAGAAAAACACGAAAAAATAAAAATAATGCTGCGAGTACAGCAAAATCGATACACGTAATATTACACACAAACACATAATATTATATTATATTTATACATATATTTATAATGGTGAGAGGAATAGGGAGGGGTGGGAGTGGGGGTGGCATATCTCTCGCAGTTTAGTTATTCGCTTACGGCGGCGGCGGCAGTGGGTGGCGTAATAATAATAACATCATCATCTTTATTATACGCCGATGTAATAATAATCGTTTTTGGCGCGTATATAACTCTCCTTCCATGTCCTAAATAATAGTACGCGTGCAATAGTCTTCTCTCTCTCTGTGCACAAAGACCGACCGACCGACCGTTTTGTACCTTTATATACATCCTTATATATATTTAGGTATATATAAATGTATTATATAAATATTAAAATGTCGGGTACGTCACGGTCGATTATAAAAATGTGAGTCCCAAAAACTGCGTTTCTTTTTTTTTATTCTTTCCTCGTACACGACGGGGTGTAACCCCAATACCCCACACAATATATAATATTACGGACGGCGGCCACTTACTGTGTATACGCTATGTATTATTACTTTTTATCCAACTCCGGGTCCGCGTGACCGTCGATATATAATGACGAACACGTGTTTATGTATTATGCAGATAAACGAGCGTCAATGTATATTATGTATATATAGGTAGGTAATATATAATATTATAATATAATATCATGCATTATAAAGGTATATTTTATGGACTTAATTATCGACTTATCGCGTACCACGATTGAAGAGGGTTAACAGCATAATATCTATAGCCACAACTAAGCGAAACGTTTCGCGAGGACGCATATTATATAAATATATGAGAGGGTTGCTGCGCTGTATAGCCCTAATAGCAAATCTGCGATCAAAGAGCCGTGATAACTGCGGGTAGCTCCAATAATTGCAGTTCTTGACTTAATATACGACTACTTTATTGTATGTATAGTACCGATTTTAATAATCCAATGAATGGCAATTTATTTAATATGCAATATACTACAGAGTAAACAAAAAATGGCAATACTACAATTTAATAACTGCAGTATATAAATACCACATAGACGCGGAATCGTCGTTTTCATTAAAATTTTAAAAATTAAAACTTATTTAAAATCTATCAAACATCGACAATAACTCTCTACCATTTCAAGAGGTTTTCTTTGCAGTCTCGCTTTTGTTGGTGGGGTTGTGAATGGGGTGGGGTGGTACACCTGAGATCGTGCTTGGTTCGTCGTTAGGTATACTCATAATAAAATATACATGTGTGTTCGCGTTTGGCAACGACAAGATATCGATTTAGACGACGGACATGTTGAAAATAATAATTATTTATTTTGGACCCAATATCTATTTTCGATAGTATGCACGAGTGTGTGTGTGTGTGTGTGTGTGTGTGTGTGTGGTGAGCGTGCTCTGTGCATGGTAAAGTTATATTAAACCACTTTGGTCCGGGGACGGACAATTCGTTAGATCATTGGATCTAAGTAACACAATACGTATGTAGCTATATAGTCTACATGTATAGGTATATGAGAATAAAGTCAGACGAGGTCCGGGGAAGGCACTGTAACAGCGACGGCGGTACCTTTTACTTTGAGTTTACAACTTTATACGACTATATACATTATACATACATTATATACCTGTATTATATAGGTTTAAAATTACATTGTTTTCCGTGAGCTGCAGTTTATAGATACGCGAGCAGACTGAGAAATTACTTTGACGACTTTTGAAGTTATTTATATACCTTATACCTACCTATATTATATACGCGGATAGGACCGTAGATGTAAGTTCTATATACATACCGTCGAGACACACACRCGCGTGAATCACAAATGCAGTGTATAATATGTACCCACTCGAATGTATATGTAGTTAACGACGTGGCAATTTTATTACGTTAATAGACTGTACGCGCGCGTAATACAGTTCGACTCGGTCCACGTCCGTCTCTGTATAAATGTACGCCACGATATATGACTTTACATTTGTAATATAATATATATACTTCAACGCCCAAATTGGGACYTTTGATACTTAWGTATATACATACAGTATATAATACGTCACATCCCTGACTAGGGTGGTATACGCATGACGTGTAAGTTCGCCGCCGGAGAATACAAATTCGTTTTATGTAAATTATTAAGCTTTTTTTCTACAGTACGCGTGGTGCAATTTAGATAATGGTTGTGCATAAACCAATTTCAAAACATTATAATATAATAATATATAATTCTTAAGTAATACTAACTCATTTCAAAACTTTTGTTATCTT